CGAGCTGCAAACTTGTACATTTGCAATTCTATTGAAATACCGGAAACATATGGAAAGATTTTCCTGGATAAGTTGGTGATTTCGCAATTTTTCTTTTGAGGATAAGAGAAAGTCAAATATTTTAGATTTGTGACTAGTACGTGTAACATTACGAAGAGAACAATGAATACTCTTCAAAAATGGTGGAATCAAGCAACGAAAGTGGAACTTTCAAGTAATGTAAACTACAATGAGGATACAATCAAAGAATTTGGAATGGTTAGCCTCTTAAACTAAGCAGTAGGGAACTATTTTTTGCTTGAAATCACTTATAGATGGCAAATTCAAAAACCACTGCCATTGCTTGTACGTATGGCAAATGTACAGATGGAAGTAACAAACTTCTCTGTGTCTACAATCAAAAGTTGGTTATTTTCCCGCGGAGTCTTGATAACCTCTTAAATACTTCTTTGTAGACCTGACATCGGTGGTGATTTATACTCGACTGTTCAAACAATTCAGGATACGTGCTCTGATTGCCCAGATCAATGTTATGCGTACCTTTGCCGTAGAGATCCAGCAGGTATGATCGATGCACAGTTCGTCTAAAACTATTCAAAACAAAAATATTATAGTATTTTAAAGTTGAAGGAGCAATTGCGTTGTACTGTGCTAATCATCCCACTTTCTGTAATTTTTCTTTTTTCCTTAATCTGTATTTTCTGGAACTCCGTAAAACTGTGCAGGACTGTCAACACTGATATATGAACGATGAATGAACCTGCACGATTTTGAAGTAGGCTTTCTCTTATAGGTAAATCCCCATAATAACGAATTTGAGATATTTGCATCTAAACAATTCTCATTACCACTGATAAATTTTTGGAGAAAAATCGAGAGATGCGCACTTTTATCGAAATAGTTCTCGAATTCAAATCTTCAGAGTACTCTTTTTGAATCTTTTTAGATGCTGATTCAGCTCATCTTATATATGACGAGAGAGAACGTCTCCTCATAGTCCCTTTCTAGGTGATTCTAAATAGCATAAATGAGTTAATCTTTTTAATAATAAATTGAAATAATTGGAAGTCAAGTAAATCGCATATTGAATTTTCGAATGT